TAAGACTGTTGTCCCCACAAGACTGTAAGCTCTCTTACAGCAGGGCCTGGGTCTCTACCCAGCACTTGAGCACACAGGAATTCACCAGCGTACATGTGAATGAAATCAACACTGACAGCCTCGTCACTGAATCTGGTGGTCTCTTTCATCCTAGCTTGAAAACCCTTTTGCTGACTGTTCATTTCATCTCAAACATTCTAGTCACCATTCTTTCCTTCATTCCTCCAATAAATATTTGTGATTGTGAACTACATGTTGGGTATCATTCCAGAAACCAGGAATAGATCAGTGAAGAGGATACAAGTTCTTAAGGAAAGTACATTTTGGTGGGGAAGATAGATGTAAACAATGAAAATAATCTGAGATGATCTTATTAAATGTTAAAACAGAGCCATGTGATGGAAGTGTGGTAACTCAATAAGACGGGTCAAGGGAGCCTCTCCGAGAGGGTGACATTTAAGCTGATTCCTAATGACAGAAAACAGCCAATAATGTACAGCTGTGGGGAAAGAGGATTCCCAGCAGGAACAGCAGTAAAATGGCCTCAGGTTCTCCGTTCGCTCCACACAGGTTCACTGAGAATCACATCTGTATCCTTATCTACCATTTATACATAGAAGCTGAGGATGCCTAAATCCAAATCCTTCTACCTGTCTCTTTGCAGAATTAGAGACCCAAGTTCAAGATGTGTATTCAACATTTTCACTCAGAGATTTCACAGGTGCTACAAAATCAGTGTAACCAAAGGTGAAACCATCTCCCACCTAGCCCGTGTCCTTCCTTCTGTATTGTTCTAAGTAAGCTATACTTAGAGTATAAACTATCCAGCTTTAAAGCCAGAAATCAAGTTACCCTTGATTCCTTCTTTTCCCTCTCATACTTCAATCTACCAGCAATTCTCTAGACTTAATTTCTAAAGGATACTTTAATTCTGTCCACTTCTTCCTTCCTCATACCACTAGTAGTCAGTCTATGACATCATCTTAAATGAGATTACTGAACCTCTGATTAAATTCAGTCTAGAGCCCCTGAAGTCCATTTGCCACAGTGTGGATTATGCCTAGCTCTCTTCAATTATATCACAGCACCCTTAGCATAGCTTAGAAACCCCTTCATGGCATGACTCTTGCCAGCGATCCTTGCCATGAAGGGATGACGTTGCCTTTACATGGCTGGTATACAACAGGCACTTAAATAGCTCTTGGCTGACTAAAAAGAGATGTCCAGCAACATGTCTTGCTGTCTCTTGCTTCCAGGCTTTGATATCACACCATTCCCTTGGCCCAGAGAACAGAGAACCATCTCTCAGTTCTCAATGAAGATGGCATTCTATTTGTATACACTTTTTTTTGGAACCTCCTGGATTTTTTTTTTACTTTTATAGACTATTTTTAGAGAATTTTAGGTTCACTGCAACCTTGAGTAGAAGACATAGAGATTTCCCAGATACCCCCTCCTCACACACAGGCTTTCCCCCATTATCACCATACCCTAACAGAGTGGTACCTTTGTAACAAATGATGAACCTAACTTAATATAGTATTATCACCTAAGGTCAATAGTTTACATTAGAGATTACTTTCGGTGTTCTACATTCTATGAGTTTCAATAAATGTATAATGACATGTATCCACTATTATAGTATCAAACAGAATAGATTCACTGGCCTAAAAATCCTCTGTGTTCTGCCTATTTATGCCTTCCTCCTCCCTAACCCCTGGCAACTACTAATCTTTTTACTGTCTCCATAGTCTTGCCTTTTCAAGAATGTCATATGGTTGGAATCATAGAGTAGGTAGCCTTTTCAGATTGGCTTTTTCTACTTAGTAATATACAACTAAGGTTTCTCCATGCTCCATGTCTTTTCATGGTTTGACATCTCATATATACATATTTTTTGGTAAAGATTTTATTTATTTGACAGAGAGAGAGCAAGAGAGAGAGAGCGAAAGCGAGCACAAGCAGGGGGAGAGGGAGAGGGAGAAGCAGGTTTACCACTGAGCAGAGAGCCCAATATGAGGCTTGATCCCAGGACCTATGATCATGACCTGAGCTGAAGGCAGATGCTTAGTTGACTTAGCCACCCAGGTACTCTGACAGTTCATTTCTTATTATCACTAGATAATAAATATTCCATCATCTGGTTATACCACATCAATAAATGGGTATCTACTTATCCATTCATCTACTGAAGGACATCTTGGTTGCTTCCATGTTTTGGCAATTATGAATAAAGTGGTATAAACATCTGTGTGCAGATTTTTACATGAACATAAGTTTTCAAGTCCTCTGAGGAGATATAAGGGAGAATAACTGCTAGATCTGCAGTAAGAATATGTTAAGTTTTGTAAAAAACTACCAACCTATTTTGCAAAGAGGCTGTACCATTCTGTATTCTCACCACCAATGAATGAGAGTTCCTGCTGCTCTACATCCTGGTCAGCACTTGGTGTTGTCAGTGTTCCAGATTTTGGTCATTCTATTAGGTGCGTAGTAGTATCTCATTGTTGTTTTGATTTGTATTACCCTGATGACTTATGATGACAGGCATATTTTCCTAAGCTTATTTGTTCTATGTAGATCTTCTTTGCTGAGGTGTCTGTTAAGGTTTTTGCCTCATTTTTTAATCAGGTTATTTTCTTATTGTTGAATTTTAAAAGTTCTTTGTATATTTTAGAGAACAGTCCTTTATCAGAAGTGTCTTTTGCAAATATTTTCTCCCAGTCTGTGGCTTGTCTTTTCATTCTCATGACACTGACTTTTGTAAAATGGAACTATTTAATTTTAATTTAGTCTAGACTATCAACTCTTTCTTTCATGGATCATGTCTTTGGTATTATATCTAAACAGTCATCACCAAACCCAAGGTCATCCAGATTTTCTCCTATGTTATCTTCTATACACGTTATAGTTTTGTATCTTACATTCAGATCGCAGATCCATTTTGAGTTAATTTTTGTGAAGACTATAAGGTCTGTATCTAGATTTATTTTTTTGCATGTGGATGCCAGCACCATTTATTGAAAATGCTATCTTTGTTCTATTGTATTGGTTTTTCTTAGATAAGTTTTTTGAAAACCCTGATACTCCTACCACTGGAGAATATACACTTTTCAGTCTAGATTAAGTGTCCTGCCTTATACTTGTATTAATATCTATACCATCTCTATCACAGCACCCTTATAATATTATATGTGCTATTCTAATATTTGCCTTTTCCCAAAAATTCAGAACCATGTTTGTCTCTTGCACTTCTCTATTCCCATCTCCTATAATAGTATTTGGTATGTAGTAGATGCTGAATAGACATTTGCTGTATTAATGTACACATGATCTATTCTTTCATATTATAACTAATCATGTTTTAAGTTTTGTTCCAAAATCATCTTTCTTTACAATTGGTAGGAAAAATGAAAACAAAAATCTATAATAGAACAAAACATTATGGTGAACATTTTGAAGGTTTCTATAATTCCAACTCTTTTCCTAAAAAACAAAATAAAATGAACTCCAACCTTTATCACTGAACAGTAAAATAGGATCAAAACTAAAACCTCTGGTATCAGCAAATTTCCCCCCTTCTCTTTTCCAAGACAATAGCTATAATCTTACGTGCTGAAGATTCAATTATATTAACTCTTCAGAGAGTTACTGACAACAAGATAATTTCTGTTTTCTTCCTTCACAGTAGAAACAAATTGACAAAATTAGCATGTATGTGAATTGAGAGATTTCTATAACTGATATGAAAATGAATAGTCTGGGCAACATTTTTTTTCTATTTTTCATCCCCTTAAGATGGATAATAATCATGATCAATTTTTATCACAAAATAATTTTATAAGAACTATAGTATGCTATTATTATGTAAAATTCGTATTTATATTATAAAAGAAAACTGTTATTTTCCTGCATCTTTTGCTTTGTGGTGAATGTAAAACTTATTCTAACTTCTAGAGATTATTTATTTATTTATTATGACTAAAAATAATTCAGTCATGGAATATGTAAGTGAGGAATATACAATAAAATGAATTATAAAAAACAGAGGTTAGTCTCTGAATTATAATAAAGTGATAGGAGAAAACTATTACTAAAAAGGAATCCTAAAGAGAATTTAATTTTTTTAAAATAGGTTTCATTACCATATATAAACTAATTTTCAAAGAATATCTTGTAAAATATTCTTTCATGACATCTCCCTGGACAAAGAGAAGTTTTATATACAGTAAGCATTATTCCCTTATCATCAACTTAATCAAATATAGTTTCAAATAAGAAGTAAGTAGATTATGCCAAATATTCAGTTGTTATTTTCCAGAGAATACGTTATATCATAGAAAAAAACATTGTAATGGATGCAGGTCATTGGCTGACAGAAGCCATTCATCTCAAAATGGTGACAGTTAACATCTGTCTCAATGTATCCACTGCCAATAAAGTACTGGAAAAATCACAGTGAACAACTATTTATCCTAAAGTGATAAATATAATAATGGGCCCAAACACAAATTTACTTACAGCATCATCTTAACAATGGGGTATATGAATTCCTAACCTGACCATATTTAACATTCTTCACATTTTCAGTTGGATATCCAAGAGCGTGATTTGTTCAGGTAAAACTACTTCACATGAACTGAGATGGGCTGAGGGAGCAAACACTGAGCATGGCTTTGAAAACAGATGGAGTGGCAGATGGGACTGCAGACTGGGTTCACTTGATCTGTGTTAAACAACTTTACTACCCAGTAAGACGGGGCTCAAATCTTACAAAAACCTTATAAAGTTCGTTCCTTTAGTTCAGAGATGCTTTTCCCCACCCTAAAAATAAATATGATTTATATCTTAAACTTTGTTCCTTTTAATTACCTGTGTGATAAATTATTTAACTCAAGTATATTTTCTTACTCATTTTTGGAACAGATGGTAGGAGAGCATATGCCTAGTGGAATAAAATGTACATGGATTAATTGTCTAAAAATTGTAAAATTAATTACCTTCCTTCATTGATGAGTTCAATAAATGCAAGTCCTGCATTCTTCTGAATAGAATTCTGCCATTCCTAAAGGAAAAACCAAACCAAATATTAGAAAAATGAGCATGTAAACAAAAGTAACATCTGGTTTAAGGATCATATTGATGTTGTTAACAACTTCCATGTTACATCATTTCTAAATCTTTTAAAAATATTTCTAACAAATGTTAAAATATTTTGTAAGAAATCGAAAATTTAAAAGTAGCTCTGTATCACTTAGTTCAGAAGGTGCGTTTGAATTTGAATTCCCAGTAAATCTCAGGCTTGACGTGGATTGAGAAAGTGAGACACAGGTTACAGAAGGCTCTCAGCACAAAGCCTCCTTCCAAAAGAAATAAAATAATTAGTCATGCAACTATACAAGCACTAGAATCATTTGGGAAAGAAAATATTAGCCCTGAATATAGAGATTTTTCACTGAGGCTGCAAAACAAAAAATCAGAATTATATACAAGAGATTTAAATTGATTTGGAAATTAAATGTTCTAGTTACACATGCATTCCAAGTGACTGAAAACTACGTAGGAAAAAGGGTTACAAATGAATTCTTTTGAATTTGCAAAAAAAAGGGGGGGGAGAAAATAATATTAAAACTATATCCAAGTGAAACCTCTCTTTGCTAATCTAGTTTAGAAAATATTTGTTCATTTGGCAGTTCCACAGTGTCATCATTATAAATTTGTGATTGTTATATAGTGTTTTGGATTAGGAAAGTATATTGCTTATTTTGTACTCTTCCAATGGCATATTTAGAATATGCCTTAGCCATTTTTTTAGCCATTTTTTAAGGGGTATTGGTTTATTTTAGTGATTTCAATTTTTTGCTTTTTTATATACCTGGTAAATTGCATTTTGATTAAAAATCACATCCCTTTCAATTGTACTATAAATAAATGCCTCCTTAATACATTTTATACAAAATCCCTATTGATCTCTCACATCACTCATCTATAGGTAATTTTTCTCCACGAGAAAAGTTGCTAAGTTGCTACACACCGAGGTAGTCAGCTGACTTGCCACAAATTCACCTTCACAAAAAACAGTCTCTATGTCAACCCTTCCCTTTACTCTTGATCACATTGCCTTTTTAAAGCTTTTGCATACATACTGGGAATAAATGTGGTCCCCAAAAGTAGGTACTTGGGTTTGTAAATATTTTCTGCTCAAAGTAAATCTGTGAAGAATTATAGAAGAATGCATCATGAATCTATGTTTCCCCAGAAGGGAGAATCAACAACTTGGGAAAAGAGATGTGGAAGCCTGGAGTCAGTAATGATCTTACGAAGGCCTAAATGGTTCTATGGTTTGCTAAATGGTTTTAGCAAAGCCACTTTTAGCTATCATATATAATCTTTAATGAAAATTCATCTAAATGACAAGATCACTATAGCATTTTACAGTGCTTATTAAAACTTTAAAATCATTTCTTTGGAAATAATTACAGCAAACTCTTTTTCCTATATTTTAATAAAATGGTTTCTATTATCATCCTTTTATATATTTTGTATCTTCCCATATATTTATTGCAAACCAATATCCCACAAAATGTGCAAATTTCTCAGGAAAACTTGATATTTATTGTGATACTAGCTTCGAGAGAAAACTGACTCTTATTTAACAAGAACCATGACACTCTGAAGAATAAATTCCTACAGACAACTTCTTAAACATGATTTCCTTTATAATACTGTTTGTACACCAATGCTCTTTTATCAGCAGAAACTTTAACATGCATAGGATTTTTCAAGAAGATATTTCAAAGTACATATTCAGGTACTACATATGCATCCCAAATTATACCGTGTCTAAAAGATCATAGAGTAAAATGTTTTAAAAACTGCTCAGATCAAAGATCAAACAAAAGATACCTGTGAGGTGCCTCAGCCCACGAGATGCTAATTTGCTATCTTTGATAAAGGAACGGCAGAAATAACTCTGATTCAAGTCAAGGACATTAGAGTTTAAAGGATGAGAAAGCCAATGAAAGTGTATGACTGCAAAACTTCATTCAAGAATATATGTTTTAGAATGATTTGTCATTTTTGAGCAAGAGGAAACAGTAGAAGATCGTTTTATATGCCTTTCTAGAAGAAAAACAGTAAGGGCCTATACTGCACTGGTATTTTGAATAGGGAAATGGAAATTAAGAGACAATACAAAGAAAAGATGTCAGGACTGGATGAGAAATTGGATTTAAGGGCTAAAGTAAAAAAGTGGAACAATATAGAGTTTAAGTTTTTAGCATGAATGATAGAAAGAATGGTAATATTACTATGCAAATAAGGGTACACATTTAAGGAAAATCATAGGGTTGTCTTTTATTTTATTAACACATAATGTATTATTTGTTTCAGGGGTACAGGCCTGTGATTCATCAGTCTTACACAATTCACAGCACTCACCATAGCACATACCCTCCCTCTTGTTCATCACCAAGCCACTCCATCCCTCCCACCCCTAGGGTTGTCTTAAGCTCATATTTGTTGGATTTAGAGTGATGATGGTATATCAAAATGGAATGTGGAATTTGGAATTATTTGCACAAAAATATTGATTAAGGCAAACCATCAGGCAAAAGTCTCTAAAGATGAAATGAGCACTGGGTGTTACAGGCAACTGATGAATCTCTAAATTCTACCTCTGAAACTAATAATATACTATATGTTAAGTAAATTGAATTTAAATAAAAATTGTTCAAAAAAGAAGAAGAAACACAAGGAGGATGAAAAGACCTAGGTTTGGATGAATTTTGGGAATCATTCACATTTTTAAGATTAGGAAAAGAAGCTGAAAATAGGCATAAAAAGAGATCTAACAAAATTTAAGAATAGCAGCAAAGTATTATAGTGCCATTTAAAAGAAAATAGTTCACTTATTACACAGGCTTAACAAAACAAAAACATACAAATAAAACCCTTTGATCATTAACATTCTCTTTTTTAATGAGTAAGGATTTAAGTTTTACTGCATGTGAACTATAAAACACAAAATATGGTAAAGCACAAAGTGCATGAAACATACATTGAAAAGCACAAAAAAACAAAAAAGATGCCTTCCAAGGGAGGGGACAGAAAGCTAAAGCCATACCGGCTGTAGCTCAGAACTGGCAGAGGAGCTGATGCCTGAGCTGGCTCTGGGTCTGGAGCTGCCCATCTCTGATGCTGGTGGTGGATCTGGGAACGGAATTGGCACTAGATGTGTAGCTAGATCAGCTCTAGAGATGATGCCGAATCTGGCTGTATCTCAGACTGCAATGTTAGAGGCGGTTGTGGAACTGACTCTAGCTCTGGGCTGACTTCATGTATGTTGCCAGACCTGATACGAAAACTGGTGATGGAGAGGACTCTGGTCTGGAGCTGATAGTGTCTCTAGGGCTAGAACTGGAGTTGGAGCTGCCACTAAGTCTGGAGCTGGTACGAGAGCTCCTGCTGGGGTTGGCTGTAGCTCTGCAGCTAGCCCTAGCACTATTTCTGGAGCTAGTGCAGAAGGTGGCTCTAACTCCAGAGTTGCTGGTAGGATGAGTTCTGGACTTGGCCCTGGCTCTGCAGGTGCTGCTGAAGCAAGTACTGCCCATTAATGATGGAACTTCCTCTATCCCTGGAGCTGGCTCTAGCTCTGCTCTGTAGCTGGTCTGGAGCTGATTTTAGCTCCAGAGCTGGCACTGCTTTCAGCTCTGGAGATGGAGGAGGTCCCAGAGCTGTGTGAAGCTCTAGAGCTTGTTCAAGAGCTGGCCCAAGGTGCTGCAGCTGGTGCCAGAGCTGGCATAAGAGCTGCTGCCTACACTACTAATATCACTTTTGAAGTCATTAGCTAGAGTTGGCAACCTGACATGAAAGACGCAGACCAAGACAAGAGTACAGAAGAGATACTGGGAACAGCAACAACAACACAACAAAAAAGGAAACCTGGAAAATGAGAGATAGTGAAACAACAGGAAAAAAAAATCTGTAATTACATGGTTGAGATACGTGAAGACACTGCAAACATCAAAAAAAAAAAAAAAAAAAAAAAAGCAAGCAAGCAAGCAAGCAAGCTTAAAAGACAAAGTCACAAGCATCTCCCAAAACTATAGAAGAAAAGATAAGGTGCCAACAAAAAGATAGAGGGATGAAACAACAGTACAACAACAAAAATAAAGAAATAAGGAAATAGAGGATCTCCAACAGAAAGGCCATATACATTGAGTAGGAACTGTAGAAAGAGTGAATGGGGAAGAGAGAATGGGGAACACGGAAGAGAAGAAATGATCAAATAAATTTAAAACTGTTCCCAGAAATGAAATATCTGACTTAAAACCCCTAGCAAACCACATTATCATAAAATTCTCCTTAACATGAGGGTCAAGGAAAAGGCTAACAACAACAAAAAAAGTTTGTACAAAGAATCAAGAAGAAGAATGAAACTTAACTTCTCAACAGTAAAGCTAGAAAAGAGAAGAAAAGGAAACACTGCTTGCATGGTTATGGAGAACGTAGCACTCAGAACACAATATCCACACCAACTATCAATAACATCCGAAGATAGACTAGTTTCAGACATGCATAAACATTTGTTTTTCATCCATTCTCTTTCCAGAACCTAGTGATGGTGTACTCTGCCAAAACGAGGGTGTGTCTCCCACAGGAGAGACAAGATGATGTTGTGACAGTTACTGAACCTCAGGGGCTTAAACAACAAAGATGTATTTCTTGCTCAAGCTCCATGTCCATTGCGGGTATTCCCCTCTATATCCTCATCAGCCTCACTCTGGGAGCCAGACAGACAACGCAGCCACTGTCTGGAACGCTGTCGGCTGCCAAGGTGGAAATAGATCATTTTTATCAGATTACAGAGAGTAAAAAATTTTGAATGACAACTTATCATAGCCATATATATAGTTTTGACTTCAGAGTTGTTTTTTGGGTAAGCAGGCAAATAGTTTGCTAATGATAATATAATGCTATTGACAGGCTTTGTTATTTGAGTTCAACTTCTTCCTCAGAAAGGCTGAAGTGAGAATTGTTCTTTTCTCAAAATTCTTATCTAAA